AGGTACTGCATCAGAGGAAATGGAGTACATAGATGGTACAGAGAGGATGGAAATTCTCACAATGATAGAGGTTGATGAAAGCCAACACTAAACAACGCGACCACTACCAAACCAGGGCCCATGTCACAGTATGAGAAGAGATGCAGGGTACATCGCATGGGTACTCTAGGATGTCACTGCAATTGACCACAACCCAAATGCCTTGTGATCCCATGAGGGGAAGCATGTAGAGTAGGACAGCTGGTTGTATCATATGAAAGGATGTCTGTAAGAAGAAAACCAGTAATCCATTCATGAAATGGACTGACACAGCTACATGCAAGACATGACACATGTGTGAACAACACAAATATAAACAAGCTTAGCAGGAACCCCAGGGAGCTGAAAAGATTACAATCATCACTCAAACACTCTACAATCACTAGTTTGGTTTTTGAGGCATTGATGTGACTAGCTAGTTTTTATCCCATTGAGTTTTAGAGCAGATCAGTTACCAGGCTCAGGTCATCTGGAGTTTTGTAGGTGCACCCATATACTGTTCTTCAGCATAGATTTTCAAAAAAGATCAGAGTCTACTCTTAGGCTGACTATTTAAGTAAAGTAGAAAGAGGGTTGAACCAAGAAAAGAGCCTTAGGCGATGCCTGCATTGATCACATGTGCTTCAGAAGACTGGCTTTTAACAACTACCCATTAGGAAAGACTTGATAATTGAAAAGAGAAGTAAAACTTTCTTTCATGCCAAGACTGTTAGGTCAATATTTTAAATGATTTCTATGTTTTCACAAAATTAGTAGAAGAAAATAAATAAATAAAAACAGAAAAGTAAAAATATAAATCAAATAAAATAGCTCTCAAAAAGGGAGATGAACATGACTCAGAGAATGATTATTTTCAGCAGGTCATAAAATTTAACCTGCTAACCTAGAGACAACTCCTGCTTAAAAACTACAGACTTTTTCCTTCTTCTTCCCTTTAGTCTCCTTTCTTAAGATTGGGTTGTGGTGGTGAAGGGTTTGGTCCATAAAATGTTTTAATAAGACTGTAGCAGCCTAATGCAGCATCCAAATTGCAATAAAACAAACTCCTGAGTGACTCATACCCAAAAGAAAAATATATAAACGAGGGACACAATAGAAATGGAAACTTGAAATGCACTAAGAGAAGATTTATTGACATCAGCAAACAATATCATCCCAAAGAGAATGGACAGAGAAGAAAAAATGAATGAAAAACTGATGAGATTCTCAATATGATGCAAAGGAGACAAAAAACTCTGCCAAGATTCAGAATGGAATACAGAAAATGAGATAACAAAATAAGGACCAAATGCAGGAAGGCTAAAGAAGAGTGGCTAAACAAAAAATGTGCAGAAATAGAAAGATTGAGTAACACCAACAAAGGAGATATGCATAAGTGAACTAACAGGAGAGAAGATGTGCTTGACAATAGGCTGCATAAAATTAAAGGATGGAATGTTCAGCGCTAGAGTAAATATATTGGAGAATTCTTCCATGATGAAAGAGACCAACACATAATTACCAACAGAACTGAAATTCTAAAAACCAAAGTAGAAGCTCCACTGGCAAAATTGAAGAGAAACAAGGCGACAGGGCCAGACGGAATTGTAACGGAAATGCTGACAGCCTTAGATGATTTGGTATAGACAAGATCACAGAAATAATAAATGAAATCTACAACAGTGGTGATATACCAGAAGATCTCAGTAGATCTATTTTCATAGCGCTGCCTAAGAAACCGGACACAAATGAATGTGAGCTTTATTGAACAATCAGCCTAATGAGTCACATAAGAAAACTCATCATTCCAATTCTGATGAATAGAGCATGCAGCAGAATCAGGCCAGAGATAGGACAAGAATAGTGCAGGTTCATTAAAGACACCAGAACAAGGAATGTGATATTCATGTTCAAAATCTTAAAGAACAATACAAATGCAGAAGGACATGTACCTGTGTTTTATAGACTATGCAAAGATGTTCAACAAAGTATGCCACAAAGATCTGTTGCAACTGCTCAGCAACCTTGATATATTTGGGAAAGCTATTAGAATAATCAAGAACCTATACTAGCAGTAAATGGCTTGTATGCAGATAGAGGATGAGTTCAGCAGATATACAAAAATAGAAAGGTGCATGAGGCAATTATGTGTCTTCTCGTCGGACAAATTCAAACTATACAGCGAGGCAATTCCGAAAGAACTGGAAATTCAACCAGGATTCATCATTAGTGGCCACAATCTTGACAATATAAAATATGCAGATGACACAGTGCTAATAGCAGATATGGCAAAAAAATTACAAAACCTCCTACAGAAGGTAGTAAAGGAAAGCAAGAAGGAAGGACTAAGCATAAACTACAAGAAGACAGAATGTATGATCATCAAGAAAAAGATAAGCCCGGTATTTGATTTACAGGTTGAGGACACTAAAATCAAGCACGTGTGGAAATTTAAATATCTGGGAAGTGTTCTGACAGAGGACAGTAAGTGCAACGCTGAGATCCAAAGATATATTGGGATGGCCAAAGACACATTTCAAAAGCTAGGCAGAGTATTACAAGACAGGAGGATTTATGGCAGCGAATGTTGAATGGTCTCCTCAGAGATGAAGAGGAGACTCAAGGCAACAGAGGTATAGTTCTACAGAAGGATGGTAAGGATATGGAGCGAGCATGTGAGCAACAATGAGGCTTTGGAGAGGATGCAAACAAGGAAGAAGCTTATACTTAACATCAGGAAGAATCAGATGAAATTTTTGGGATGCCTAATGAGAAAGGAGGGCTTGGAGAATCTGATACCTACAAGGCAAATAGAGGGAGAGAGAGAGAAGGGAAAGTGACATACCTAGTGAGTTTAAGCAAGTTGATGACAGAACAGGGTGTGAGATAAAGGGACAAAACATTGAGAGCTACAAAGAATAGGGGGAAGTGGACAGCCATGATTGCCTAATCCTGAAGGAACATGACACATAAAAGAAAAAGAAGCAGTCCTTTGTGTTTGCATCCATTTGTGGCTAATTTTACATTTCTAGACACCATACTCCACCTTTTATGATTCATATTACCCTTTCTACCTTTGCTTTGATTTTCTTAAGTTTTTTCTGTAGTTTTCACATGTCAAGTTTGTTTGAAGAGTGTTTGCTTCATTGCAGCCTTGTGTTTGTTGATTTATCCCAATATCACTTTCATTGAATCAGTCATGATGTTCAGCTTTGTGAAACCCTCAGATAGCCAAAGATACTTTATAAAATTGTGCTTGTCAAGAAGAAAAGGGATCTTGAATAGTGAGAGATAATCTTGAAAAAGTTACTGCATGACAGGATCTTTTATTTTTAAAACATTAATACATCAAGAAAGTGTATTAATGTTAGATCTCCTGTATCTACAATGAATAACAACATGAAGTTTAGCTCTTATCATAAGGTAACCAACAGGGCAGCACCTTTTAGTGAATGCACATTAAATACATTTTTCATATCCTCATACTAATAAGGTACAATTGTTTCATCTTTTTCAGTTCCATGTAATTCCAGACATCTCCAGATGTGCTAGTCTATACTAACTCTATCATTGAAGTACCTTAATGGAATAATGTTGTCAGGGTTTGGAACATGAATAATCTACTTTTATCCTCCATAAAAAGCAAATTTTGTGTTTTTCCTACTATCAAAAATGGGTGCATATGCACTGATCAGAGTAGCAAAATTGTTTAATTTTAAGAAGGTTATGAGTCTTTCAACTTATGAAGTAGCACACATTTTAGGTTACCTTTTGCTTCCAAAAAATTGGTGAGGAGTACTAATCCAAAAAGGCTGTTCAGATACCTAACAAAACAAATAAATCCCTTTATTACATCATTTGATGAAGAAACAACTTCATATCTACCAAAAGGTCACACACATCTAGGTTGGTGACTAGATGCCTCCTACCTGATATGCCTGCTCCTCTATAACCATTCCTACCACCACAGTTCTTATCGATACACACAGAAAACTACATGATTCATAACAATAACAATGTAAAATTTGCATATGTTAGAAATGTCCATTGAAAAATTTATGTCTTATGCAACTTGCACAGCCTCACAAAAACTCTCCTTAACAAAGCAAAGTAATCCAGAGACAAGCTGAAGTGTGATATCTGGATTAACAAAGATAGAGGATTAGTGTTGATTAGTGTTGATTTCTCATAGTCCTCTAGCCAAGGAAAACCTACAAGAAACACAGGAATTTGAATTCAGAGTTTTCCTTCTCCTAGATAGATTGCTTTACCATGGCTCAGGAACTCCATTTACTCCATTGTAATAGAGTCATTACATGTCAGCTCAACCATACGAAACACTAACTTTTTTGATCTTGTTCAAGCATTGTCATAATAGCAGAGATACATGCCAAAATGAAGTTTGCAAAATATTAGAACTGACTGAATTTTAAAAAAAAACCAGTCAACATCACACAAAAAAGTGAAATGGTTATGTCCTTGTAACCTTGTTCCTAGGTAATTAAATGTCAGCTATTGAAGTAACATTTTGTGGCTGAGTTGAAACAGAATGACCTAATAGTCAAATGTTACAAGATAATATTCCTTTCTTTAATTCTTTCCTTTATATTTATTTTATTTAATTAAATCCAAGTTTGTAAAAATAGTTCTTTCTGAAAATTTTCTGTAAATAAAGGAATCTCTAAGAATGTGTGTCAATGTATGTGTAAAGGAACCTAGAATAATATAGACACATTTTACTGACATATAAGCAAAGCAAAACAAGAGAAAATTGTCAATACAAATGTAAATTATGTTTGATAATTTAACAGGAAATTTCCTTATGAAATGAAATTCTGAATTGCATTGTGTTAAAGAAAATCAATAAAATTCTCCAACTGAAATGAAGAATTTAGAAGTTAGTTGGATAACTAAGATATTTATTTTTTAAATATATAATTTACTGAAAAGGTAAGTTGGAGAATAACCATAAAGGTATATACCTCTGTCGCCTCAATCTTATGATCATCCAGTTTATTGGTCATATCTTGGTGAATCGTGTTCTTGTCCTTTGCCAATTTTTCAGTAAGAAATCCTGGAAAAGAAATATAAAATAATTAACAAACAATTTTCTATAAATTTTGTTATAAAGACAAATTGGAATAACTAATAAAATTATCAATAAAACAAAAGCAAATGTTAAGCAGAAAATTTTACCATTTGGTTTAATTCAGTATAAATAATCAAATAAGAGAGGAAATTGATGAAAGTTTGGAAAGGGAAAGAAATAACAACTGAAAAAGAAAAGTAATTTTTCATTATTCAAATATTTTAAATATTGTACTTGCTTCATTTTTATTATCAATGATCAATGTTTAAAATCATTCTATAATAAAATGGTTTCTAGAGTAATAAATTTGATATTCAATAATACAGGTTTAACCACAATTTACAAGGTGGTGCTGAAAGTTTCTTGGCCTAATTCACTCCCCAAAATCTGAACAAATGACTAAGATTTTTTTGTGGGGATAGCTTCTGTTCAGGTTGAGGACTCTTAATTACTCACTTATAACTTATTATGTATACTTCTCTCTCTCAACATATATATATGCTCCCAGGAAATCCGGTTGAGCACTCTTGAGAAAAGTGTAATTTAAAAGAAGTGGCTCATGCACACACACACACATATATATATATATATATATATATATATATATATATATATATATATATATATATATGGGATAATGATATATAGATTTTTTTATATATCCATATTGGGGAAAATGTATGACAAAGTGGAAAAAAGTTTGCTTGTGATGCATTTTGTCCTTTAGGAGTTCATTGAACTAAATTCATTAATGAGGGATGCTGGGAATTTTTAGGGTTTTTTGGGTGTATGTGTGGGGGTATATAATCTAACTGATTGCATTTAGATTTTTTTCCATGACTTTTTTATTACATATCCTACTCTGTGATAATAGAAGTTCTGTCAGGAATGGTGAAATGTTGTAAGAGCCAGGGAACAAATTTACTCTTGACTTCAAGGCACTTTCTAAAAAAAAATTAAAATTAAAAATTCCCAGCACCCCTCATTCGTGCACATGTAGTTGTACCAACATAACAAATTTGGTCCAATGAAGCCCTAAAGGACAAAAAGTGTCACACAAACTTTTTCCACTTTATAATACATTTTTACCCCATTTTTTAGCATGAAACAGACTGTCACCTTTGGATGTTAGCTTCAATCTGCATTTACATATATATATATATATATATATATATATATATATATATATATATATATGTAACCTGTAGGGGGTGGGGATTATTCCATTGAGGTCTCTAAGGATAAGGATATTAAAAAGTTAACTTCATGATGGGAGCTCAATGTATAAATTTATATACAGTATATATGTTAAGATTGTATTTGAATAGTAGATGTTAAGGAGTTAGTAGGTAGCATTGTATGTCTAAACACTTGAACAATGAAGAATTATGTATAGAAAACACATTTAAAAACCTCCAATATCCTCAGTATAAACAGGGTGAGATGGATAAATTGTCGTTTAAATTATGCAAAAAAAAAAAAAAAAAAAAAAATGAAACTAACACTGCCATCTCATTTTAACAGATATATTTACCAAAATTACACAAATGTATCTTGAAATACTAATGAGTAAATTTACACAATAAAATTGCCATTGGCTTACAGATTACTTCAGAATCTCCTGCAACTCTTCTGGACAGTTTTCTTGTTTAAGTTGGTGAATGCTGCTGTGCCTAACCTTTCGGCCACAAAGGAGCGTTCAGTAGGAAGATTGAAGTTTATAAGCAGTAAATTCGACCTTGCCTACCGAACGCTCCTTTGTCAGCGTAAATGACACTTCCGTATAGGATGCAGGTTCGAATCCTGTCAAAGGACGAATATTTTCTATGAAAATTTCTCGGACATTCAGGCCAGTAAATGTTATTTAATACTGTTTATTATAAACAGAGCATTTACTTAAATACTTGTATCTATAAAAAAGGACGTTAAACATAAAAAAAAAATAAAAAATGTCTTTAATAAATAAATTGTTGGATTTTGTCCATTTCTTAATATATGACGTCATTTGTTTACATTTGATACACCAGAATATTTGTTATGGTAATGGCAGACTGTTCCTTCAAGTTGGGAGTCTGAATAGATTAACTGCATGAAAGAACAAAGTTCAAGAATATTTACAAAAATATATTTTAAAACACATAATTTTTGATGGCATGGATAAACTAATTTACACATAAGAGTTTATATGTATGTATCTCTATTGCTATCTGTCAATATATTTTTCACTAAACTGTTTTTTTAAATAAATCAGTTCTTTTTGGATTTGGGGGGCTTTGTGTTCATGTGAATTTTGTTCACTTTTTATGATTATAGGAAATCTTATTTGTCAAATCCATTACTAATTCAGCTGATGTTCATATATTTTTTTATCATTCATATATTGCTTTTGAGATTCTGCAGTTTTGTAAAAAATGATTTGCAAAGTTCTCTAACCATAAATCTTCATGACATTTACTATATCATAAGAGAAAGTTTCACATAAAATTTTCAAAGAATTATTGAGCAAATGTTGTCATGGAGAAACAATTGAACCCCAAACAAAACTAAATCAATGTTGCCATCTCTCTGCTTGTTGTGTCCTGATCACATATATATTGATCCATTCCATTCAGTCAGGAGTAGGAGTAATGACCAGTGGAAAGCACTTGAATGTTCTGGAACTGAGAATAATTTTCAACAGATATGATAAAAGCCTGTTGATGATTTTAAGAGCTATGAAGTGTACATGATATTAAACACAAATAGATGAAGGGAGTTGGGCTTTTTCTCTTTTTTTATAATGTTTCTGTATGAGATAATTAAAAGAATAATAATTCAAAGAATAATAATTCAAAGAATAATTATGCAATTTTATGGACTTTGTTTAAACATTGATCAAGTTGAGAAAAAACAAATGAATGATTTTCTGTAACAGCTTGCATCTTAAACAGAAAATACCTGAAGAAAATGATTTAAAAGCAATAACTGTAATAGCCATAGGCATTCTATGATATTTCCTTTAATTAAAGACATAGTTAGATGAGACATTTGCACAAGTCAGTCATATGTGACAGAATACTAGGCTGAATCTCTCATAAAAAATTCACGTTGGAAAGCAAATATAGATATTTTGATGATGGCTCACATTAATTTATGTATGAACAGGTATTATCAATTTTAATGTGCACCTGAACTAATCACTTAAAATCTCCCCATATTATCTACGCATGAACCTGCAAAGGTCAATCAATAATTTTAATTATCATAGTCTAAGGCAATTTCATTACAGATATATTTAAATGAAATAAAATCTTATCATTTTTAAAACAACTTTATTGAGAGAAAAAATATCAAATTTATTTCTGTATGTCAGGTAGCACAGACTCAGTGAGAACAGGGTAAGAAATAACTGAGCAGTACTAGAAAAGAACAAGATATTCCTAGAGTTTGACAGTAATACATTTAAACCCAATAATATTAAATAAAGGGTTCTGTTCTAAATTCATTGAAAGTTACCCAGATTAGCAGACATCTGAAAATGACTGGAGGATACAATAACTGAAACATTGTGATAATAATATTAAAGATAAGGACATAATAAGTAACTAAATTGGTTATATATTAGAGTGTTTGGGAATCAATTCCATATTTCACCACCATGAATTGTTAGACAATCGAATAAGGTACAACCAAGTTTGAATGATATGAAACTGCATCTAGAATTAGCTCATCAATTCTTTTAAGAAACAGGATATCATTTATAGTGCATTTCAACACTTAACCTCATGAACGATTATTAATTTAAAAAGTTACATATTTACTGTTGCCCTCTTTATGCATTCCAGGAGAATAGTACTGTTACAGAATCATTTCAAAACATGTGTGTACTGATGTACAGATGTAGTAAAGGCTCATGCATGTTAACTGTGGTTTAAACAGTTTTAAAAAACCATTTTGAAAGTGACTTATCCAACACACATTGAATGAAGAATGATGATTATTGAATGAAGAACTTTTGAAAGAGACTATTAAATTAAACTCAAATCAAAGTAGCAGAAATTTAGTGCAAAAACTTAATGTGTCATGTTCAAATATTCACAAACATTTCAATCAAACTAGAAAAAGTTGCTAAGAGGAAATTTCTGTTCCTCATGAGCTTTTGTTTGAGAACTGAACACAATATTCTACCAATGTATTTTTACAGGTGATGAAAAATATGTTTTGCATGTTAATAGAAATGAAAAAGATAGTGGGTAGCACAAGATAAGAAACTGAATCAAGGAAGTAAATGTTTATTGCCAGCAGCAGCTTGGTTGCAATGAATGAAGCATTATATCAAGTGTCCTGTTTTGGTAAACAGAAAATGTATTATTTTCCAGCATTACCATGCAAAGATATACTCTACAAAACAAACACAAAAGAAAATAAGACATTACAATGGGAGGTTCTTCCATATCTTTCATAATCACCAAACCTACAGATTTGCATTTATTTTGGAAACTAAAAAATATCATAAGTGGTAAAACATTCAGAAACAAAAAAGGTGAAAACAGTCTTTCCAGCTTTTCTAATGGAAAACTCCAAATTTCTTTAAATGGGAAAAATAAATTGAAAATAGACGTGACTGTATTTTTGATAAATAATATTTAAATATATTTAACTAAAATTTGTTTTTATATCCTTTTCCGTAAAAAATAATTACTTTCTGAATATCCAAATTGATTTCATGTTATAATTTAATATTTAAATTGTATCAACAGTTACATCTTAATTTGAAAAAAAAACAAAAAAAAACAATAATGTGTTTTAAGACTTTAACTTACAAGTGTGTGTGTGTGCATGCACATATGTGTGTGTAGGTGGTGGTGGAGAATATACCGATTTACTTGTCCTATAATTATGTCCTAAATCTACACATGGGACTGAACTGGCAGTATATCCATGGTGGCATCACTCATTGGAGAGCTTCCTGGACTGAAGTCAACCACCAATGTTTCCTCAATGGA